GGTAGGCCAAACTGTAAAAATAAAGTTGCGTTTTCAAATTCCTCCGGTTTGAAGAGCGTTTTTGAAAAGCACCGTCTTCGTGACGGATTAGTGTGGACGGTAGGCCAAACTGTAGAAATAAAGTTGCGTTTTCAAATTCCTCTGGTTTGAAGAGCGTTTTCGAAAAGCTCCGTTTTCGTGACAGATTAATGTGGACGGTGGGCCTAAACGTAGAAATAAAGCAGCGTTTTCAAATTCCTCCGGAGTAGTCTTAATGGGGCATAAGATTCGCGGATACATGTGTTGTGTCCTTGATGACAGGCCTTGCTGTCTGTGCTTGGTCGAAGTATTGCATGATTTTATCATATTCCTGTTCTGATTATAGACATGTCTACTACTCTTTCTTGTCTTTCTTTAGAATTGTAAAATCAGAAATGTCCCATGTTGCTGAAAAGGTACTTGGTTTATTTTTATTAGCAGAAGTTGTAATTTATCTCAAGGATATTCCACAATTTAACAGTTGGTGTTTTGAGTATTAGACTTTTATCCAAACAAATATGTCAAACGCTAACACAGCAAATCTCTGTGAGACAAACCGAACAAACATGCCTTTACTTAAAGAAAGAAAAGTTGATCTTTTTTTTTCTATAATGAAGTCACTGTAGGGTCTTCTGGAAAGTAAGTATAAGCTTTTTGTCCTTTATTTCAGACAACTCCTCCTCTGTTAACAAAATCTGGTGAAATGGTAAGTTATGTTATCATTCGATGCATGTTTTCTTCCTTTTCATTGGTCGAGAGCCAACCACGTGACCTGCAAATAACTTCCTACAATAATGATATTGATAATTGATCTGCTCACCCATGACAAATCACAATATTTGGATTAACTTCCGTCATTCAATAATTGTTAATTACATGCAGATGCTGTCCAGTTTTGTGTCTCAGGTGGTTTTAAACATGTTTATCGTGTAAAGCGTCTCTTTTTATCAAATCATTTACATCAATTTTTTTTTTTTTTGCACATTATT